AGGGAGGACGTCCTGCTGGGTCCCGCCCTGGGGTCGGGAGCATGTCATGTCTCTTCACATGTGTGTGCCTTTTGGGCCACGGCCCCTGGGTGTCACGCAGCTGGAGCCACCTGCCCAAGGGTGGCATGGCACATGCTCGCACATGCACAGGTGGCTGTGTGATCCATGGGGGGCATGGCCCACGTGCGCGGTCCCTGGTCTCCCTCCCCGCCTTCTCCCCCCCCCGGGGCAGGGGACAGTACTGGCACTTACCCAGTATGACCTCCCTGGCCAACCCTGCCAACTCCGGTGCCGGGACAGCTGGCGGTGGCCCCTCCGGTGCGCCTGGGTCAGGGCCCTCAGCTCCCGGCTCACTGCCTCCCGGGCTGGCGCGGACCGCCCTGCCCCCCAGGAGTTGGTCGAGGGCGGGGAAGTAAGGGCAGGTGGCCGCCCCTGGTGGCCCTGGCATACGCTTGCCGCAGCTCTTTGACTTTCAGGTGTACCTGCTCCTGGGTGCGCCTGTGTCCCTTTCGGGCCATGGTGGCTGCTATGCGGCCATAGACGGCCGCGTTCCTCCTCCTAATGCGAAGATCATGGACGTTGGGGGCCTGCCCCCAAATCTCAATGAGGTCCATGATCTCCTCACTAGTCCAGGAGGGTGTGCGCTGTCTACGGCCCCTGGCTGGCCCCTCGGTGCTGGGGGACTGGGCGGGGGACGGCTGGCCGTCACTGGCTGCTTGGCTCATCCTGGGGCCACTGGATCAGGGGCAGAGACTGCTGGCAGGGCTGGCTCTGGCAAGTGCCATCTGGCCAGAGTCTACCCCTTTAAGGGCCCCGGGGCTGGGGGAGAGGAGAGGAGCTGTCCTGGCTTGGCCCAGAGTGGCCACTAGGGCAAGCTGGGAAAGGCTAGCCTCCAGCTAGTTCGAATTAAGTGGCTACACAGCCCTTAATTCAAACTACTTAATTCGAACTAGGCATTACTCCTTGTAGAATGAGGTTTACCTAATTCAAATTAAGTGTTCTGCTATTTCGAATTAAATTCGAAATAGCGGTTTGCATGTATAGCTGCTATTAAAGTTAATTCGAACTAATGACTGTTGTAGTGTAGACATACCCTCAGGACCAAAAGGGGACTGCATAAAGAAGCAGTTCTGGATATTATCAGGGCAACTAACTTGTATGTTTCCTTATCAGTTTTAGTCAGGATGATGTATCTGAAAGGTGAGCTGAGGAAGGACCCAGAAAGAGCTACACAGTGGTCATGCATGCTTTATCCTTCTCAGGACCACTGCTATGTTCTGGACTCTAGGATCATCTAAAGGTTCATAGACCACTGCTACCATATCTCAGTTTATTGCCTTAAGGACTTCCAGCATGCCAAGGTCAGGAGGGCACTTGACCGAGCTCATGAGCAGAACCATTTCACTCCACATCCTGCGGACAGTCTATTGAAGGCAAGTGAGCTGGGAGTTGTTGATGACACCTATGTTCCCCTGAATGCTCACATGGTGACCCATCTCTGAGTGGTTTGGACAGGGTCTCACAGGAAGCCTATGTTTTGTTAGTCTATAAAGTGCTACCAGACCCTTTTTTTTATAGTAGAGCCAGTTACAGAATCTACATACACTGAATCCTAGTACAGTGCCTTGCTTTAAACACAAGACCTGTCTTCCTTAAAATCTACAAAACTTACACCGAAACTCTATATTTTAGTACTTAGCCTTTGGTTAACAAAAACTGTGAGGGTAGGCAGATAATATTGTTGCATATGCACTATCCATCAAATAAAAGGATATTTTATGAATAATAGTCATATTCTGTCACAGAGTCTGTATGTATTTTATAAGAAATGGTCCAAAAGCTCTCTCCAAGTGCTCCTGAGAAATAGGTTTTGCCTCTGAAAGCATGTTTGCAGTTAAAGATACTGACCAAAAAACTTTGTTATTGATTTACTCCAAATAATATGTTTTGGATATTTGTTTCCATGCCATTTGACTCCTAACTATATTCTCTTTTAATAAATATTTTCAAAAGCATTATTGAATAGAACACTTGTCTTGCAGTAAGTTACTGCTTTCCCCTGTAATAAATGGAAACTCTAACAAAGGTAGTGTTCTTGACAAGCTAATTGGCAGCCTACATTATTAGGGCATACTCATATCACTAAAGAAAATCATATGAAAATATTCATAAATATTTGCAGGTGGGAGAAATAGAATTTAGAACAATCTGTTCAAGCTGGTGTTCTGACTATAATTAAACTTTTAAAGAGTTCTAGACAACCCTCATGTGTAACAGTCAGATGGAGGAATTATATCTCTTCTTTCTGTCCTGTTCCTCTCCCCTCCTTCTTGGCCACAGTTCAAATGCTAAGAAGGTCTGGTTAGTAAGAGAGACCGAGTGCTGTAAACCATGCTAGTTGTGGGTGAAGTCTAGTTCCCCAGTGCTATATACTGTCACTGTTCCTTTTTCTCTGATATCCTACAACTTAACATAGCTTTTGCAGTGTGTTTGTCACAGGTGCTGTCATTCCCTTCAAAGGAGCTATCATCCTCCTGTCTCTACATGCAGCTGGCAACCTCAGCTTTTCAGGTGGTAAGTCTAGAACCAGGAAAAATAATTTGGAGATAAGCTGTTAATAAAGCAATAGAATGTGTGTGATACTTGTTCTAATCAATGCACCCTTTGTAGGATGTGTTCATCCAGTGTAATGTGTGACTTACACTTACATCAATATTTATAGATGCTACATTATAACTTGTAGCACATTCTTGTATCACTTTCACTATAATCACTGGCACTTTAGAGAAGCCTAAGGTAGACCACGCAATGGGTTTGTTTGTTTGTTTGAGTCTTTTAAGTAAGTGTATTGACTTGGAAGAAATTGATTTTTATTTTTTTAATACTTTTAACATGTAATGTCAACATTTTTAAAGGTTTTATCAATTTAAATTTTGCACAGTTGCACAAAATTATGGGGTTTATGCATTTTTTCAGTTTTTATTAATTTCCAACAACTGTGAAAAATTAAACTATGGAAGGGAGTCAGACAATAATTATAGCAGATGTTGCGATTCAAGTGTTAAAACTTTGTAATAACACAAATTGTCAACATCACATGTCAAAACATGGAAATTAAATATCCTTTAATCACTTCTAATAAGTTTTCAAACAGAATTTTTCTTTGCTTATATGTAAATTTTCATTATCAGTGGAAATATTTTTGTTTGTATAGTTCTGGTGAAATTAATGTTTATCCACTGTTACCAATACAAATCTAATCCTTCCAAGTCTCAAAATAAAGCCCCTTTTTTTGTTTGGGCTATTACCTCATGTATTGAGTTGTTCAGAGTCAGATTATTTCTTTTGTCTCTAACTGCTGGGCAGACTTGTTTAGTTGTTTAGTTAACAGAAATATTTGTGCACACAGGAGATTGATGCTTGTAACATTTCCCTTTGATTGAGTGCAGACTTTTCCATACTATCATAATAGCACTGTTTTTAGAGAGAAGTAGAATCAGGAGAGATTGATCCTAAAAGGAGCTGTTCTGACACTTAATGCTGATGGAAAATGTACATCTATCTCTTCTGTGCATTGATGGGAGAAAGATCACTTCATGATCTGATTAGTGGACGAGAAACGTAACACAAACTTACTCTAACTACAAAAAAGTGGCATATCCCATTCTCAACTGTTGGAATGTGTGCAGCAGTAGGTAGGCCATCCTGGCACATCAAGTTGCACTGGAGGAATGTTATTCACGCGAATGCTTAGTAACATCACAAGCTAAGTCTTTTTTGCCTTACTCACATTAGTAGCATCATTGGCTTCAATAGAACTACTGCAAGTGTAAGCATTTGCTGGAGTTCCTGCTGGCTATGCCATGTAGCATACTATGAGTAAACTTGTATTTATTAACAAATAAAAATACATGTGCCCGCAAAATTACAATAGATAACCTTTAAAGACAGTTACATACCTACTAATTTTCTGTTATTTGAAATGTCATTGTGGACCATCTTTCACACAACGAATGATGAAAGTTACACATTTTCCTTGCATCTGATTTTTTTTCTGCCAAATACCAGCAGTGATTAGTCCAACAAGGCTTCTCTCTGGACTGTATTGCTTAAACAATAGATTGGAAACAGGGCTCTTTTGGGGTTTAATGACCAGATAAAAGGAATTTAACTTGAGATATATTATACAATGAAAACAGAATTAAAAATCAGGGATATGCCGATTTATTTGAATCCACTTTGCAATTTCAGATGGTATGTGCAGGGCATTGCTAGAGAATTGTCCTGTATGCTAGCAACTAGTATTTCTGGAACTCTTCTCCACTTAAATTAAGATAGAGAATAATCATGCAGCCATTATATATGGATGGGAGGGCTTTAAAACCTGCTGGACATCAACTGTAAGTAAATGCTGGACTCAGCTGTTATTATTGCTGTTAGAGATAGGGGAAAAACCAAAACCTGAGGATCCAGTGACAGACATCAAATGCTGAATTAGTTTTGACCCAGCTCTAATTGGTTTCTGGCTCAACCCCATCTCTAAGCCATTTATTAAGAACATGTAATGAAAGCATGCTTATCTACGCTTTGCTTCTGCATTTGCTGAATCTTGCACTATATTGATGTTTGTCTGAGGTTAGTGTCCTGTCAATTAACGACTGGTAGAATAAGCATACAGAAAGCAGGACATTATTCTGCTGCATTATTCTCAAGGGAAAATATTATAAATGTGAATAATAGTAAATTATGTGAAGTCATAACTGATTCAGTTTGTGTAAGTTGCCCTTGATTTTGATAGCATTAACACAGTGCATATTTTTTCCTAAGTGACACAAGATGTGGCTGGCTGTAGTTGAGTCATGTTTGATCCTTGGAACTGTATCGGCGCAAAGATTTGTTGGCAATAACATCCCTTCTAATCCTGAAGTATTTATGACTATTGTAAGTAAAGTGAGAGAAAACTTCTGTGAAGCAGTGAAATGTTGCTAGTAGCTCAAGATGTAAGTCTCTGAATTAAACTGATAGAGCCTATAATAGATCATGCCCCATAGTTCAGTATTCCTTGAAATATGAATCCACTAGAAACTACTTCCAGTTAAAATCCTGAGTGAATACATGGCCTAGGAAAGCCTTTACAAATTGAAAGCCTATTGGCCATCTGATACCAAACTCAAAGCCTTTGTTTTTTTTTCCTGCAGAGTGAGATCATCACCTACTGGGGATACCCAAGTGAAGAGTATGATGTTGTGACAGTAGATGGTTATATACTTAGTGTTAACAGAATACCTCATGGGAGAGTACCTGCTAGCAACACAGGTAAAATTGCATCTTCCTGCAGCTATGCAGTAAGTCACACAGAAATCAATTTTACATTTTAGTCCTGCCCCAGGACTTGTGGAGCACCAATAGTAGAACTTCCACAGAGCACTGAGAATGGGGGAAAAAGCAGTACTGAAGAGTTCCCATACCACCCCTGTGATTGTATCCAGCCAGAGCCACTGGATCTCAGCCTTCCCCATGCTTCTGGGTGCAGAGAAAGGAAATCTGGGCCCTTGTTAGAGAAGTGCTTATTTTGTGCTTATTTTGGTCCATCAGTCTTCACATGGGTAACTGGTCTCACACTTGGTCATCTGTTTTATCTGTATGATCGCATGGCCTAAAACAAAGCATGTACAGCAAATAGCTGAATGTTAAATTACTTGCCTCATTTACTGTGGTTAGGTTTCTAATCTCTGTTGCATAAATTCATCCTTTAAACACTGAAAGTTTGTGATCGATTGTTGCTTTAAACGTTTATGAACCGAAACTTTTTTTATTATGGAAAATCAATATTCATATTGTCGTTTGACTTAAGGTAGGATGTCTAATAGGAATTGTTTTGGAACAAGATTCCTCTGAACTGTTGGTTTTTGAAGAGTAAATGACCACATGCATTCGTTCAAACAAATTAATATGAAAATGGTCAGGAGGAGAAAAGTTTTTTACATCTTGTACTAAACCAAATCTCTCCAATCTGCATATGCAGTCTCGCAAGGGTTCAGCATTGTCCTTGCAAAGTATACAGGTACACAGGTAATATGTTTTCCCCCTGATAATTCCTAAAGCAAAGGTAAATGGTTCTGTTTTTTATAAAAATGGGAAGAAAATTCTTCACTTTAAAGGCCACAAGAGGACAGCAAAGTGTGTATGAGGACGCAAGAAACTAAAGATGCAGGTGAGGATCTTAGCATAGTGAAAAGACCAGGGAAGGAGTACTGTGTGGAGAGGGGAAAGAGAATAGAGAAGGTGGGAGGGAAGAATATAAGTGAAATAATGAGGAAGGAAGAGAGAGAGATAGCAGGAAAAGAGTAAACAAAATTGACAAACTGAAGGCAAGAGAAATGAAAAGTTTCTGCCTGTAGGTAAGGAAAACTAAGTATAAACCTTTGTTAGTACTAACTATGTTGGTCATGAAAAAAGAGGTCAAAATGACTAGAGTGCCACAGTTGGAATCCAAATGTTGAGATCTAAATCAGTTGTCCTTCCTAGGGCAATATGATAGAATCATAGGACACTAGAACTGGAAGGGACCTCGAGAGGTCATCGAGTCCAGTCCCATGTCCTCATGGCAGGACCCAGTACCATCTGGACCATCCCTGATAGATGTCTATCCAATCTGCTCTGAAATATCTCCAGAGATGGAGATTCCACAACCTCCCTAGGCAACTTATTCCAGTATTTAACCACCCTGGCACTTAGGAAGTTTTCTGTAATGTCCAATCTAAACCTCCCTTGCTGCAGTTTAAGCCCATTGCTTCTTGTCCTATCCTCAGAGGCTAAGGAGAACAATTTTTCTCCCTCCTCCTTGTGACACCCTTTTAGATACCTAAAACCACTATCATGTCCCCTCTCAGTCTTCTCCTTTCCAAAATAAACAAGCCCAATTCTTTCAGTCTTCCTTCATAGGTCATGTTCTCTAGACCTTTAATCATTCTTGTTGCTCTTCTCTGGACCTTCCAATTTCTCCACATCTTTCTTGAAATGTGGTGCCCGGAACTGGACACAATGCTCCAACTGATGCCTAATCAGTGCAGAGTAGAGTGGAAGAATGACTTCTCATGTCTTACTTACAACACTCCCAGAATTATTTTGCTTTTTTTGCAACAGCATCACACTGTTGACTCATATTTAGCTTGTGGTCCACTTGGACCCCTACATCCCTTTTTGCAGTTCTCCTTCCTAGACAGTCGCTTCCCATTTTGTGTGTGTGAGAGTGATTGTTCCTTCCTTATTGAATTGTCCTTATTAAACTTCATCCTATTTACCTTAGACCATTTCTCCAGTTTGTCCAGATAATTTTGAATTATGACCCTGTCCTCCAAAGCAGTAGCTTATTTCTTATCCAGAAGAATCACCAGCCACAAACCTAAAACAGAGATCACCAGTCTGGAGGAAGGGTTTGTTTGTTTGGTTTTGTTTTCCCTTTCAGCATGTAATTAAGGGGAAATCTTTTAGGGCCTCAGAAGTGTCACTGTGCAAAAAGAGATGATGCAAATCAAAGATGATCAAGAGATGCAAAGCAATGTTATTAGTGTTTGGCAAGCTGCGTTCTTATAAAGTGATTATTTAATATGGTTATGAATTTATTTGTAAATTTATTTAGAGCATCTAGACCATGGGTAAGAATCTCATTCTAATTTTAAATCTAAATAAATGAATGTTACTAATTAATATTTGCATTTTGAGGTTTTATTTTTTCTATTGTACTCTGAGAGATGGCATGGTTAAATGAATCCATCAGGCGGTGCTGTTGGATTGAAAATAAGCATGTTGTTGAGGTAATAATCAGCTACGTCAAGGGGATAGTGAAGAAGTCTATGATGGATTTTAATAATTTTTTATAAAAGTTTCATAACCGTGTCTGAAAGTTTTGGTTGATGTTGTAATTTAACACTTGCTTTTGTAATGTGAAAACCCATTGTGATTGAATGCCTAGGGTTAGGCCATACTGAAAATGTCACATTCGGAACAAACTGCAAGAAATTGGTCAGACAATTTCCCAAAAACTAGGGGTTTATTTTATAATTAGATTCACCAAACCAGTAACAAAGAACTTCAGTATCACCACACTTGTTAACAAGAACTGAAGCATAGTCCTCCTCAGATATGCCAGCCCATGGTTCTCATCTCGACAAGTTGGTCTAATATAGTGAGTGGTTACTAAAAACACATTTAATCATAGAATCATAGACCACTAGAACTGGAAGGGACCTCTAGAGGTCATTGAGTCCAGTCCCCTGCCCTCGTGTGTCAGTCTTCCATTTCCAAGGGATCAGACATTTACCCCAGGTCAATAAGTTTCAAAACCAAACCATCAGCCAATCGTTAGTAAACTTAACTCAAGATTTATTAAGAAGAGTTAAATGGTTAATAGATCATATACATGTACATAATTACAAAGTGCTTATCAGGTTTGTAGCAGTGATGGAATAGTCTGCTACTTTGTAAAATTCTCTCTGGAATTGGCCAAACGTATTAGTCATTAGTCCTTGTCCAAAGCTTCATGATAGAATTCCAGTCCAGAGAAATGAAGCAGGAAATTAAGATAGAATGGCCATGTTCCAACTGCAATTTATATTCTTTGCCATATGCATGGAAACTCACTATCTCAAATAAAGCTTCCAACCCCCCAACATGGCAAATTACAGGCCCAGGGTGGAATTCAGGGTCACATGAACATACCCCATGTCCTTGCATGGTTTGCCATTGGCTCCTTTCATGTTGAGGTATTTGCAGAAAGACTTGCTGAGCAGGGGGAGTTTCTTCTGTGGGACATTGTGAGAGCTGAATGTCCTTATTGGGCTAGCAACATAAAGCTGGCTAGCCTTGATGTTAACCTATCTATGAGGAGTGTCATCCAGGAATATAGCACATGATTAAGATACAAGCCAGTAATCATAACTTCAAATGCAAAGATACTTGCATATAAATAGTATTACAATATATAACAGATTGCGATGTTTTTTACATCAATACCTTGGATGAAGTACTTTGGCAAAAATCCATTGCAACTTTGTAAGAATGGTGACTTTATTAGTGCAACAAGTCATTTTTATACTACATCCCACCCATCTCTAGAACCCTACCAAATTTACATTCCATTTTGGTCAATTTCATGGTTATAGGATTTAATTTTCATAATTTCAGCTATTAAATCTGAAATTTCACAGTGCTATAATTGTTGGAATACTGACCCCAAAAAGGAGTTGAGTGGAGTGTGTGGGGTTGCAGAGTTATTGTAGGAGGGTTGTGGTACTGCTTCCCCTACTTCTGCACTGTTGCTGCTGGTTGCGATTATTGCCTGCAGAGCTGGACAGCTGGAGAGTGGTGGCTTCTGGCCAGGAGCCCAGCTCTGAAGGCAGAGCCACTGCCAGCAGCAGCACTGATATAAGGGTGGCATGGTATAGTTTTGTCATCCTGACCTCTGCACTGCCTTCAGTGGTCAAAAAGTGGTGACTGTAGGCCAGGCACCCACCACTGAAGGCAACAGTGCAGAAGTAAGGGTGGCATGGTACGGTTTGGCCTTGCTTGCTTCCATGTTGCTGTGGTAAGACGCTGTCTTCAGAACTGGGTCCTGGCCAACAGCTGCTGCTTTTCAGACACCCAGCTCTGAAGACAGTGCAGAAGTAAGGGTAGCAATACTGTGACTCTCCTAAAATAACCCTGCAAGCGCCTGCAAATCCTTTTGGGTCAGGACCCCCAATTTGAGAAATGCTGGCTTCTACTGTGATATCTGTAGAGCATAGGGTAAAGGCACACAAAAGATCAGATTTTGTGAGAAGAGACCAGATTTTACAGTCTGTAGTGCATTTTTATGGCTATGAATTTGTTACAGCCCTAATCATGTCATCGGTAATCAGCAGATAATAGTCCTCTCCTTGGGACATAGCTTCAAAAGGCTGGATTGTTTTTGTCCCAAAAAGTGCGACCTTGTTTTGCACATTGTTCAACATAGTGTTTTGATAACCCAGGCCTTGTATCTCCTCTTCCTCCTAGAGAGGTTACCTATAATCCCAGGCCACAATAATACATACACTTGAATACAATGGACCCCAAAGATACTAAAACTTAATTCAGTAAGATTGTTTTCAAGGACATTGCAGGAAATTGCCATATCTGTCACAGTCACACTAGAGAGGCAAGGATGCAAGTGCAAGGTAACGTATTTTTATTGGACCACCTTCTGTTGGTGAGAGGGAGAAGTGCTTCAGGTGTGGGAATAGTGTTTAGCGTGTCACTGCTAGATATAAGACTGAACAAATAATTTAACATAAGTAGTTAGCACACATTGTAAGTGGCCATGTGAATGATGGTCCCTTAGAATATGTGGTAACTTGAAAGCTTGTTTCTCTCGTCAACAGCAGTTGTCCCAGTGAAAGATAAATTCTTCACCCTCCTTGTCTCTCCAATATCCTGGAACCAACATGGCTATTCCTGTGTCTATTAACAACAGTATTTAAAAAATGTATCTGTTTTCAAATGTGGTTTTGGCTTGTTCTGATGGTTCACTGTATTTTGTCTCTTGTATAAAACTTCTCTCCTTTCTCTCCTTCCATCAATTTCATTTCTGCATACTTAATTTTGAATAACTGCAATTATTTGCAAAGTAATCATTTAACTAGTATCAATTGTAAATAGACCTTTCACTGTTTAGCTCTCCAGTCTTTAATTTGATAGAACAGCATATGTTAAGGACTTAAGCTCTATCTCTTTTAACTGCTTTGGTGGGCTATCATGAGTTGGTTTACACAAACTGTTGCAATGGTATTAGGGATGGGGAAGAAGGAAAGGTGAGCATCTGTGGAAGGACAGTATGTGCAGAGGCAGGAAAGTGAATGGTGCTGGTGCCAGCTTGGTCAAGATCTCGATGAAGGACAGAAAAGCTCTTAGGAGCAGCATCCCCTTCAATAGATTCAAATCTCTGTGTTCTCTGGCACCATATCTTGTGCAGTAAAACAAATTGTCACTTTCCTGCTGGGCTTGAGCTGCTAGTTGTTTTCAGGAGGGCACGGGGAATGCTCCTATACCTGCCACTATACTCTGGACACAAGGTCCAGTGATTGAAACATTGATCAAACTAGAATTACTTCTAATTCTGGTATCCATTGGTGTAGGTGCAGTCAAAGGTATCCATGTCAGGACTCTTTAAGGAAAGTTCTGACATGCAGTAGTATAAGGTGCTCTGGCACTGACCGCATGACACTTAAAAAACATTAGTTAATGTTATAGAAATGGTTCCCAAACCTTTTTCCCCCAGGAACTCGTTGGCATCTTACTAAATATTGTGGACCCCTTTCATTTCTGGGACTTTCAGAACACATGGTGCATCAGAGGTCATGCTGTGCAGAGGAAGCCATTTTGAGCACAAAATGGTGTCCTCCAAGTGTCAAAAGACTTGGAACAGTGTTTTAGTGTATACTGCCTCCAGACCATAACCCATCAGAGCTCATGGCAGACTCACAAAGGTCTGGGGACCCTATTTTGGGAACCACTGTATTGTAGTAATGATTAGGAGGGGAATGAACATAACCACAAAAGGGTAAAGTAGGCCACAAGAAACTCTGGGAATTAATGTGCATTGTGTGGAGAGGCTGTGGATCCAGTAATCAGAATGAAACTCACCTAACTGGTATACCTTTACAGGCATGCACTGCTTAGAGCTTCAACTACACAACAAATGTGTCTTCTGGCAATCAAATATAATAGGACTAGTATTGAAGTACATCCTCAGTATACATTTAGCCATGGTAATTATAAACAATTCCCTTAAATCAGGGGTGGGGAACCTTTTTTGCATGGGGGCTGCTGACTCACAGAAAAATCACAAATAAAAAGCAAAAAACAAACCCTCACTGAGGGTATGTCTACACTACAGTGTTATTTCGAAATAGCTTATTTCAAAATAACGCATCTACACACAAAATGCATTTTGAAATAGCATTTTGCTATTTCGAAATAGTGTGTCCACACTGAGTAGACTCTGAATCACATTTAAGGTTGGCTGGAACCAGTTCCGGCAGGGCACCAGGTCAGGACTTACTGTATGGGGCTGCTGCCTGAGGCTATCTGAGGTCTGTGCTTAAATGGACCCCCCTGGACAGCCAGTTCTCATGTTTCCCTGCTTGCTTGTCTACCTCGATGAGGGACAGCAAAGCATTTTGTGTCTGCGTGCTCTGGTTGCCCTCACTCGGGATA